CCCCTTCTCCTCTTTCACCCCCCCCTCTCCTTTCTCACCCCCCTCCCCACTACCTTTGCTGTAGCGTGGCCGAGCCCGGCAGCATGGTTCGACGGGTACAGGGAGCATCTGTCACTGAGTGTGCACTTCCTGTTAGTCCGGCCGGGTACAGGAGACTGCTGCTCTCTGTACCCGTCAGACTAGCATGCTGCAGGGCTCGGCCACGCTACTACAGAGGGAGCTGACAGGTGGGAGCGCTGAGCGCTTCCCTCCTGTCAGCCTCTCCTCAGGCTGCGCCCGGGCGGTGCGGTCCGCCCTCATGGACGCACCGCCCGGGCAAAGCTGCAGCCGCCTGAGGCTCTCTACAGAGCGCTCGGGCGGCTGCGGCATGGGGGCGGGGGGGTTGGCGGGCGCCCCCTGGTCATGGCACCCCCACCCGGCTGGCACCCGGGGCGGACATTAATTATATCTTTAAAGTTAGGCGTAGACCAGCTTAGTCGTTTCAAATCGGTCAGGGGTGGATTTCTCTCTTGATCCTCAAGTAGAGCAACTAATGTTTTTAGATGTGGATTATCATCCGGTGAAATCCCCCATCTCTTTTGCCAATATTGTTTCTCTCTTTTTGTGTAGTGCGCTTAGAGCAAGTTTACGGCCAAAAGGATTAGTATCCTTCAACCAGTTGAATCGATCAGCTCCAGGGGTGGGTACAAAAGAGAGCCCTTTATTCAGGAGGGATATATGTGTTGGGGAAAGAGGAAAATTGGACAGATTTATCACCTTGTTGTTAGTACATACATTTTGGATTTTTTTTTGGTCGGTCTCTGTCTGATCTGGAACCCCATCTGTTCCGGTCTCTCAGTCTGGGTCTTTGGGAGTTCTGCCAGGTTTGGTCTAAAAAATGATGAGACGTGACTGGGCAGTTAACAAATGGGTACACATTCTTTAGGAAGGATAGGAAAAACAAGAAGGGTGGTGGGGTATGTTTGTATGTCAACCATGAGTTAAAGCCAAATCTTAAGCAAGTGGAATGTGATGAGGAAAATGTGGAAGCTTTATGGGTAAATATCTGCTTGGGGGAAAAGAAGGGAAACCAACTATTGGTTGGGATATGTTATAAACCACCTAATGTTAATATTGACGAGCAACAACAGCTGTTTGAGCAAATTTAGAAAGCTGCAAATCTAGGTAACACTATAATTATTGGAGATTTTAATTTCCCGGACATAAATTGGGACAGAGGGACTAGTAGCTCAGCAAAGGGAATTATGTTTTTAAACTTGTTAAATGACACCTTCACAACTTGTACAAGCACCAACTAGAATGGACGCTTGTCTGGACCTGGTTTTAACAAACAACGTTGATCTTTTGACCAACATTCAAGTAGGTGAGCACTTGGGAAATAGTGATCACAATATAGTGTCCTTTGAAATAAACTCAAAAAAACAAAAGCAGGGGCGTGGCCTGAGCTCTGACCGGGATGGACGCCTGAGCTGTGGGCTCCGTACTGCCGGCAACCTAAATAGCCTGCTAATCAGCTTTTACCAGCTCCTATGGGGCGCCACCGACGCACGGATACCCCCCAGACACCGAGGGGCCCCCAAACGGGTCAGCCTCACGGCCCGATGGACGGATTCCTCCAGTCCCAGACGGACGCGAGCGGGGAGGCAAGTGGATCCAATATGGCGCCGACAGCCCTGCCCCCCAGGGAACCACATGGCGCTGCGTTGGAGAGGATAGGCGAAGAACTCCGTAATATGACTGCAGCCATGGCCACAAAAACGGACCTCCTAGTCCTCACAACCACCATACAGGATGCACTGCGTGCCGAAATGGCGGGAATTAGGGCGGAGGTGACAGCACAGACAGGCCGCATCCAGGACCTGGAACGCTCCCACGAAGCCCATGCCACGAGGCAGCAAGCAACGGATACAGCCCTAACACGCCAAGGTGAGCTGCTCCTGCAAATGAGAAGGTCGGTCGAGGACCTAGATAACAGGGGGCGCAGATGCAATATTAGGGTCCGTGGGGTCCCCGAAAGTGGAGGAGAAGCAGAAAATGCTGAGGATATTTTACTTGGCTTATTCCGCCTGATACTTGGAGAGGCCGCACCCCACACTCTTAAATTTGAACGAGCTCATAGAGCCCTTCGCGCCAGGTCCCTGGACGAAGGCCCACGAGACCTGATATGCTGCCTTCACTCCTTCCGGGACAAGGATGCCATAATGAGAGCAGCCCGCTCACGCCCAACCTGGGATTACAGGGGTGCTGCGGTCTCCCTGTATAATGACCTCTCCCCGATTACACTAGAGGCCAGGAGGGCACTGAAGCCAATCACAGCTGCCCTACAGGAAAGGAACATACCTTATAAATGGGGCTTTCCCTTCGCCCTACTAGCCCGCACTCAGAATGGCTGGACATCGGTCCGCTGGCCCGAGGAGATCCCAAGATTCCTGGAGGAGCTGGACCTGCCTCCAATTACGGTTCAAGACTGGATTCTGAGCCCACTGGGAGGGAGACCACGCCAACAACGGGCACCCCGGAGACGGGGGGACAACCCACCAAGAGGTCCGGCACCCCGCAGACGTAACAACCCGGAGGTGCCGGAGTAACAGATAAGCCCTCGGCCATCTACTCTCTACCCATGACTAATCCCCTCAGAGGAGCACTATGCCCTGCGCGGACACTGGACTTGGAACTGCAACCCCTCAAACCCAAACCACGGAGTGGAATGCTGCGTAGATGACCCTCCTGCTTCACCCTCACTCGGGATCCTCCCAATGCCAACAAGAAGTAACGGAGAGGTTCTCGTTCCCCTACCCCCACGGAGTTTTGGGTGGGAGTGATGGGTGATGTTTCTTCTTTTGACCGGGTGGGAAATTGTGAGGAAGGCTGCCCGCCATTCAAGCCCAGGAGACACATATCACCATGGACTTCAGTTGGGGAGGGGAGGTCGATGCGGGGAACTTTTTGCATTACCTGGGGGGGCCCTACTTCCGACCCTAAGCTGGGAACCTCCATCTGTGACACTGTGGAACTCACCTGTGCATTGCGGAGCACAGGTTGGCGAGACATTGATGCTGCAAACAAGCACCAACTCTCTTGGAGATCTATGCACTGGACTCACGGTATTGTGCAGCACCCACAGTATATATAACAGATCACATATCTCACCCAGTGACCTCACCTCCTCTACCAGATGTCTGTTACACATATTGTATCGTACATATAATACGTATTGCATATAGCTGTTATATATATATTAGGGTGGCATTTGTATGACACAACTGCTGGACGTGCCGACCCCCCCCAGGCCTGCGGACGGGCTGGTTCACGTGTCCGGAATGCATACACCGGGGACTGGGCGGTCTGGTGGCTGGAGGGGTCGGCATATCGCGCAGAGGGAGGTCGGGACTCCTAACACAATCAACATTGAGGGGTAGACACCCGGGAGGAAATGGGGGTGGGGGGGGGCCCCACCGGGGCAGATAATCAACTGACCTCTTATTTGTGGGAGGGCGGGGAGAGAAATGTAAGTTTTCCACGGTTGCAGACCACTCACGGGGGACACGCTGGGGCCGAGAGGTCAGGGGTGGAGGGAGATGGGGAGAGAATACAGGTTGATAACAAACGCATAATCATCCAGGCTGTTCTATCGCTCGCCTAATTTTGCAATGTTAATCTATTTAAGTTATCCTATACCACATCTGTCGGGTGGCGCCCTATCTATGGTTCAAATGGCACTAGGCTATGGTGCTGGCGGGTGGGACACACGGATATTATTCTGACACCACACTTATTTTCCATATCCATTCTGGTTTGGAGCGGAGCCATTGACTTCACCTAAGGGTCGTGCGTTTTTCTGGACGGCGGAGCCCCCAGAGATCCACACCCCGGTCTGGTTACCGGAGTGGCCTCTGGCGACCCCTGCTGTCGCACGACTTACACCTCCTTAAAACTGAGGTGACATTGAGGTGCATTCTCTTTAACTTACCCATCCCCCACTACAGGGCACCTCCATCTGGGGAATATCGTACTTTCCCCATTTTTTTACTCTATTCTTTCCTACTCACTATACTTGACACCACTCATATTTTCCTAGTAGTCCGTCCTTGGCTCTAACACAGGCGCGCAATATAGCCACATCTCGCACCCTCCTCACACCGGCACCACACCTCGCCGACTACACAACCTCACGCACCACACTGGGTATACGGGAACGGTGAGAGGGGCAAAATCTACACACAACGCCACTACCTTAGTGATCTCGCCACTTGACTGGGAAAGCTTCTACTGGCCCTCCGCTCCCGCAGCTACACAGACCACTAACTCCTAGTGGCCACACCAACGGGAGGGGGCTAGCCGGGACTATATAGCCACCCAGGGAGGGGGGATCGGGCGCCGGGCTCTCCGCGTGCCCTGAGCCGAGTGCCGGGATGTCAGCACCTTATCATAATGCCCCGTTGCAAGTCCTAACCCTTAACTGCAGAGGTCTGAACGTTCCTGAACGCCGCACCCATCTCCTGCGAGAACTGCGGAAATCGCAAGTATCTGTAGCTATGCTTCAAGAAACCCACTTCCTAGAGGGATGTGCACCAAAACTACGGAACCGATATTACCCCAACAATTTCTTTAGCAACCACAACACGGCACGTAGAGCCGGTGTTGCCATCGTCCTGTCCGCTAACCTAGACTTCAGGGAACTGGACAGGATGATTGACACACAGGGGAGGTTTATCTTCCTAAAAGGCACCATTGCCGATAAACTCTACACATTGGTGTCGATCTATGTGCCCAACACAAACCAGGCAAGATTCCTTAGGGGAACATTGAATAAGCTACGAGGATTCTCGGAAGGAGCGCTTATTATAGGAGGCGACTTTAACACCCCACTAGACCCCCAGAAGGATACATCGACAGGCAGTAGCTGTCTACCACACTCTAGTATTCGCTCGATCCGCAAATCAATGAGCGAGATGGGTCTAGTGGACAGCTGGAGAGCGCTTAACCCGGACTCCAAGAACTACACCCACTACTCGGCACTTCATCAACGCTACTCGCGAATCGACTACATACTGCTCCCACAGGAGGGCCTGACACGACTTAGGGCAGCTACTATAGGCCCTGCCACCTGGTCAGACCATGGCCCGATGATGGTTGAACTGGAATCACCGCTATTCAAACCAGCCCGTTGGACCTGGCGACTGAATGAGTCCTTGCTCCAAGACCCAGAGGTTTTAGGGGAAGTAACACAAGCCCTGGAATTATATTTCAGAGAAAATGATGTGGAAGGAATATCGCCTATATCGATCTGGGAAGCACACAAAAGTGTAATTCGTGGAAATCTCATTAGGATAGCCTCCCGCAAGAGGAAAGCGGCGATGCGGGAGATGGCAGAAGTTTATGAGACCATCGCAAAGCTGGAACTCCAACACAAACGGACTCAACACGTTGACACACAAACGGAACTATTAAATGCCCGACGACGACTCCGAGACCTCATCACGCGAAAGTACTACCGCTCCTTACAATATTCGAAGAATTTCTTCTATATACACGCGAACAAAGGCGGCAAATTCCTGGCACACCTTCTGAAAGGCGACACACCGCGAACAAGGGTACACAAACTCCGCCTCCCCTCTGGGACATCAACCTCCTTCCCAGACGAGATCGCAAACGAATTTCGCCGATACTACCATGCTTTATATAATCTCCCCGCCCTGGATGGGGCAACGCCGGGACCTGTAGCCCTCACGCCCACCCAGGCCTTCCTACGGGATAATGTCTGCAAACGAGTGAACCCAGACGCGACAACCATGCTAGATGAACTGATTAGCACCGAGGAACTAACCGCAGCTCTGAAGGCAACGAAGGTGGGTAAAGCACCGGGCCCGGACGGATTCCCCACAGGGTATTACAAACATTTCTCCGCACTACTCCTGCCCTGGCTGACGAAGGCACTCAACGCCATCACGGAAGGAGGACGATTTGGCATGGAATCACTAGCAGCTACAATCGCGGTCCTGCTCAAACCTGGGAAGGAACCCGAGCACTGCGGCAACTACCGACCGATTTCCTTACTGAATGTGGACACAAAACTCCTTACGAAAGTGCTGGCGACCAGGCTACAACGCGCGCTACCGAGTATAATTCACGCAGACCAAACGGGATTTATCCCAGGTCGAGAAGCTCGGGACAGCACACTACGACTTTTCTCCATACAACACCGAGCGCGAACCTCACGGGAACCCCTCTTACTGCTCTCTACAGACGCCGAAAAGGCCTTTGACCGGGTCAACTGGTCGTACATGATGCACACGCTAAGGGCCATGGGATTGGGATGTAAGATGATGTCGTGGATATCCGCCTTATACGATAAACCGCACGCGGCGGTCAGGGTGAATGGAGCACTGACCGCCAACTTTGAAATTAACAACGGGACCAGACAGGGATGCCCCCTATCCCCTCTTTTGTTCGCCATGACCCTGGAACCGCTTCTACAGGCTATAAGACAGAACCCGGACATTCACGGTTTTATTTGGAAGGGGTCAGAACATAAGGTGGCGGCCTATGCGGACGACCTTCTCTTTTTCATATCTAACCCACGAATCACAATGCCCTGTCTACTCCTAGAATTTGAACGCTTTGGACGGATCTCAGGATTCAAGCTTAACCTTACGAAATGTGAGGTCCTTAATGTCACCCTCCCACAGAATGAATATGCCACACTGAGCTCTGCTTTTCCATTCCGATGGTGTGAAGGGAAAATGAAATACCTAGGAATATGGATCACTACCGATCCGCGAGACGTTTATCGACATAATTTTACCACCATGTTACAACAATTAACGTCAGACCTTGATCGCTGGGCATACCCACACATCACCTGGCACGGACGGATCGCGGTCCTCAAGATGAACGTACTACCACGGATCCTATATCTATTTCAAACCATCCCAATATCGCTACCGGCAACCTTCTTCTCAACTCTGAAAACGGTGGTCATCCGATATGTCTGGAGAGGGGAGAGATCCCGACTACGATATGAAACGCTGTGCTTACCCAGATACAGGGGTGGCCTGTCACTCCCGGATTTTAAAAAGTACCACCAAGCTACCACAATGCAGCGTATCCTGGAGTGGCACGCAGCCGAAAACCCGAAACAATGGGTAACCCTGGACAGAGCTGACTCAGGGACCAAACTTAAGGCTGATGTGTGGCGAGAAGGGACGGGTCGCTGTGGGAAAGAAGAGGATGGGAACCCAGTAGCACAGACATTGAAAACGTGGAAGACAACTAGGAGAATGACACAGGTCTCCCCAACCCCTAGCCCTATGCTCCCGGTTACCCATAACCCCGACATCGGAGGAGGACTCCCATATGGGAGCTGGGCGTTTCTGGGGGAAAGGGACTATGTCCCGTTCTGCACAATTTTGGAAGGAGGAACCATACGACCACTCAACTCATTGCTGTCTGACAGACCACAGACGCCCTTACTAACCCTACACTACCTCCAATTGACACATTATTACGACTCCTTACCTCAAAAACAGCTGCTACACAGGGACCTTACGTGGTTCGAGGGACTATGCCGCCGAGGCACCGCACTTGAGAAGGCAGTATCTCTCCTTTACCAACACTTGTTGATAGGAGCCTCCTCGGACAATAATACCTTTCAAAGACGGTGGGAAGCACAACTAGAGATACAAATCACACCAACACAA